GCATAAAATTTTATTTTTAAATTTATATTATTTATAAAAGCATTGTCACATTTATTTTTTTTAATTTGGAATAATTTAATATAAACTTCAATAAAATGGCTCTTATTGATGGTATTTCATTAACATTAATTTTAAATAAATACACGAATTTCATAAAATGTAATACCATGTTACCTTAATTTTAGAGATAGAATAATTTATATAATCTTAAATTTTATTTTATTGTAAAAAACTTGATTTCATGTTTATTCATCAGAAAGACACGTAAAAAAAAAAACATACGGTTACATGTTACCGGTAGTTATTAAACAAATAAAAGGTAACTGTACGACAAAGACTGAATAATAAGTGCAATGCACGTATTTTATTGTTGTATATATTATTAATAGTATTATAATAGAATAGTGGGAATAAATACAATATCTAGCGAAAGACAGCTCTCACCCCATATGTATTTGTCAGGCCGGGTGGATGCTTTTCCCACGCGCTTTTTCCTTGGTGGGACTTTGGGCGTGGAACTGCTTTTGGGTGGCTTCCGGGGCCACTTGGTGGGCGGGGTAACTTCAGAACAAACAAAAGCAAGCTAAGAGTATTAAATGCCATTTTTGCATATAATGAACGAGGAGGATAAAACTTGGGTAAAAGAATTAAGAAATTATGTCATGGAAGGAAAAATTGAATTTGTAATCGGTAATTCCTTTCATGAATCAATAATTATCTAAATGATTACTGAAGAAAATTTTTTCATTAATCATTGGTTGGCCAAATCTTTGCATAATGTTATAATGAAATACATACACTAATTAATATTAACCTTTTTACATTTTTATTTGATCAAAAGGCCTATCCAGTCTCTGGATTCTCTCGTTTTGTTTAATTTAGTCTTTATATCCAAAATCAAAATAATTTAATTCCTTAATTTTAATTTTTTTTTTCGATTTAGTTTTTCTTTCTAACCGTATTCAATTTTACTGTTAAAAAAGATGACATCAACAATGACATTAGACGATGATATTAGTGTTGACTTGTTACATTTTGATAACATGACGTTGAGATGATGACATGACATGTCATGCAATGTCAACATGATCATGTGACAATATCACGTGACACTAATATGATGGCGTGGTCATGCTAACATAACATTGATAGACTGACATCTTAGTGCCATATGATAGATCAAAAAAAATTTCAAAATAAAAAATTCTGTCATGTCATAGGAACTAAATTGAATAAAAATATATAATATATTGACTAAATTAAACAAAATTGAGATATTGAGGGACTAAATTGATAAAAATATTTAAAAATATAAATACTTAAGTAGATTATTGATATACTTATTAATAAGTCAAATATTTAAGTGTAAAAGGTTTATGGTGTTAATATATATATGTATATATTTTCTTACATGTTTATTTAATTCTAAAATATTTATATTAATTTATCTTTTTTTACAAAAATTAAGTTTGAATTATCTTTTTATAAAATTTCATACTTAAAGTCAAATTTAGATGAATAACTTGCATTACATTATAATAAAATAATATAAAATAACTAAATAAATTTTTTTTCTTCTATTTATAATAGTATAAAAATTTGAAATGTATTTAACTTAGTTTTTAACCTGAGGTGAACTTAAATTAATAAAATAGGTTAATTTATAAGAAACTTTGAGTAAATTTAAATAAAAGGTAAATCGGGTAAGAGTTGAATAATTTTAAAAGAATAGGTATTTATAAATTATGAAAGTTGTAACTAAATCAACTTATTTTACTAATTTGAGTTCACCTCAAGTTAAAAACTAAGTTAAATAAATTTTAAATTTTTATACTATTATAAATAGAAAAAAAAGAATTTATTTAGTTATTTTATATTATTTTATTATAACATAATGCAAGTTATTCATCTAAATTTGATTTTAGGTATGAAATTTTTTCAAATTTTTTTTATAGAAAGAGAATTCAAATTTAATTTTTGTAAGAAAAGATAAATTAATGTACATATTCTAGAATCAAATAATCAAATAAGAAAATATTTATATATATTTTTTAACACCATACATTTTTTACACTTAAATATTTAGCTTATTAATAAATATGTCAATAATCTATTTAAAGATTTGTAATTTTTTATTTTTTTTTCAATTTAGTACCTCAACACCTTAATTTTGTTTAATTTAATCCTTATACTATATATTTTTATCCAATTTAATCCCTATGACGTGGTAGAATTTTTTATTTTAAAATTTTTTTTGATATGTCACATGCTATGAACTTATTTGTAGTTTCCATTAAAGAGGTTTGTTATTTCTTTTCCCATTTGTTCCAAATTCATGTTGTTCGACTCCATAATATTTTGCAAGTTGTAAAGGCATGGCGTTATTTTGGTGATTACGTTAAGAAAAGCCATAGTCAGGTTTTGATGCCTATCTTCATATGTTGGTTTTTGTGGATTGAAAAGGAATCGTGCAGAACATGAAAACCTTGGTATGAACCCTCATCGAATCAAATCAAGAATAATGAAGATATTAACACAATTGCATATCAAGGAAACTTAATGCAAAAAATGGCAGTGAAAGGGTGATGTTCAATTAGCCAAATTATGGAAACTTTCTTTCCTAATCAAAGCATTTAAACCCCCTCAGATTATTAAATGGTTGAAACTTGCACTCAATGAACTCATATTGAATGTTGAGGGAAGCAGCAAGGATAACTCTCAAAGGGCAAAAAATGGAGGAGTTGTGTGAGATAATACAGGTAACCTTGTATTTGGTTTGTCAAAAAACTTTAGTCAAAATTCAATCCATGCCGAACTCCTAGCACTTCTAAGGGGTCTGCGCTTGTGTAGAGATTATAATATACATTGGTTATGGATTGAAATGGATGCTAAGGTGATTGTGCTTTTATGAGGTCTAGTTTAAAAAACTTCTCTTTTAGATTTTCTCATATTTATTGAAAGGGTAACCAAGTTGCAAACTTTTTGTTAAATAGAGGTTATCTTCAGCAAAGCTTGCAAGTATTCAACATTACAGAAGGTGAATTGCCAAGTATTCTTAGACTTGATAGATTAAATTTACCTTATGCTAGATTTAAAAATGTGTAAGGAAGTAGTATTTCTAATTTATTTCTTGCTTTTAATTCTCTTAATTTTCGAGTCTTCATTTTCAATATGTAAAGAAAGTAGTAATTGCTCTAAGATTCTTCATGTTTTAGTTCATGTACTTTTAGAGGTAAGGTATATGTTTCCCTCCCTGATGTACTTGGTAATTGGAATTAATTAAACTTATACAGGGTGGCTGCCCTTGAGAGCTTTTTCCAACCATTAAAAAAAAAGTTCTTATATTTTTATTTTGAATTAAATAAATTCGTATGACTAAATAGATTAATTAATTTTGTTGGTCAAAACGATGCTTGTCATTTTTAAAATCATGTGACGTTAATGTAGTCTATTGACATATTATAATAAATGATGATATGACATGTTACTATTACTTGATACTGTGATCATATGATAATTTCATTGTTTATGTCAATGTCATATTATGTGGTTATAAAATTTATAAATTTCATTTTGAGTAAAGATAGATAGTTAACAATTAATTATAAATATTTATTTGATGCAAAATTAAATTATAAAGACTTGATTGAACACAATAAACTTACATGTACATAAAGATTTTTTTTGAATATTATTAAATAGTTTAGGGATTTTTTTTAAATTATTATGCCTGAAAGCTTTATATCACTACTTTTATTTTAAAGTATTTTACATAAAAATCCTTAAACATTTAGGTAATTCAAATTTTATGTGAATCATCATTTGCTATTGGGTAATTAATTTCTCTTAATTGCTTTGTTGAGTGTTAGTATGTGTTTGCTCTTTTTTTTTTTTTCCAGTTTATCTACTTTTTAAAAGTAGAAATCGATTCAAGTAAGATTTTGAGAAATTCTTAAAAGAAGTTTTTTTTAAAGAACAAAATCTAAAAAAAAAAATTTCCAAAAAAGCTTTAAAGAAGAACGTTCTCTTATTTTCTTTTAAAAATATGTCAATTTTTTGAAAAAAATTTTCTTTTTGTTCTAAAAATATCATCATTTATTAAAAATAATCTTGACATTACTCTTTCAAAAAATATCCTCTCAATCCTAACACACTAGCTTTTTATATTCTCAAAAATTTATTTTAAATAAAAAAAATAAAGTTATTTTTTTCATTGTGAATAAAAGAATTCATAATTAATAAAAAATTATTTATTAAATATCTTTCATAGTGATTTTAACCACAATAAAAACTTATATAAATTGTTTTATCAAATAACTTATTTGTAAAAAATTTAAAATTAAATTTATGAAACGGGTTTAATTTAATTTTAAAATTATTATTTTTTTATAAAAAATTTATAAGAAATTGTAAACTAAAAAAAAGGGAAACTATACAAGTTGCTTTTTAAAAGAGGCAGTGGAGATATTAGATAGTAAAATAAAATGTAATTTACAAAGAAGAGAAAAGAAAGGATTGCATATTTCAAAGGGGAAGTCATGTCAGGAACAAATTTTTCAATTTCATTATTGAAACTAATTACAAGCCAGTGTAATTTATTGCTTATAATACTAATAAATGGATGCTTAAAAAGTCATTGCCTTTAAGAATCTGTCCAATAAATAAATTCAACAACTTCAATACTCCTTATTCCCTTATTTTCATAGTGGACATCCCACTTCCACGTGTCGCTCTCTTACCCTTGCGCGTGACTAAATAGGTGTAGCATTGCGCGTCAATTTTTGAATTCCTCCTCAATAGGTGGCAAAAGGGCAAAACTCCTTGCAAATAGGAACCGGTAATCACCGTTAATATTTGAACCCTATTCCCCGTTCTCCGCCGTCACTCCCCTATCTAAGACGTCGCCAAATCCCTCCTTCCGTACATCCCTTTACCGGCTGCTCCCGGTCAAAAACGAAAGCAAATAAATGAAAACCAATTTTCGTTTTATAAGAAAATAAAGAGAGAGAGAGAGGCTACATTTCTAGAGAGAGAAAGTGAGAGATAATTTTTTTTTTAATTTTTCTCTTCCTTCTTGTTGTTGTTAAAAGGCTTTGAGATCGTCTCCGTTCCGTTTTTCTCCTTTCTAATTCCTCGACGGCCTCGAGGTTTATAGGGAGAGATAAAGGAAAAAAGGGCTTCGAAGCAGAAAAAGGAGGAAGAAAAACCGAAAAAGGAAATTTTTTTTTCAATCTTTTTCTCCCTCTCCTGGAAAAATAGATAAATTTTCCTGCAAAGTGTTGTCGAATTTTCTTACGAGGTGGTTAATTCACGATCTGAGCTAGGGTTTCGAAAATGTTGATAAGAGATGCGAATTTGCTTTGATTTTAGTTGGCCGATCTTGAACCTAGGGCTTAATTTTGTAACGTCAAAGAAATGGATGTGGATTCGTCGATGGTGCCAGAGACCGATCACGATCAGAATCACGGCGGAGCATCACAATCTCCAGCGCCGATGGAGAGGGAGCAACAGCAACAGCAACAGCAACAGCAACAACAGCAAAGCCAGCAACTAGAGAACCAGGCTTCGCCGCCGGGACCTGGTGGATCTCCGCCTCCTCCTGCGCAACAACAGGCGGCAGCAGCCGCAGCTACTGCTCAGGTACAGCCCCAAACTCCGGTGGTGGGGCCGAGGTGTGCGCCTACTTATTCGGTGGTGAATGCGATTATAGAGAAGAAAGAAGACGGGCCCGGCCCAAGGTGTGGGCATACCCTAACGGCTGTGGCAGCTGTGGGGGAAGAAGGGACGCCTGGGTATATTGGGCCCAGGTTGATTCTGTTTGGTGGTGCCACGGCACTTGAAGGGAATTCTGCTGCTTCTGGGACTCCATCGTCCGCCGGAAGCGCTGGCATCAGTAAGTTCTTCTTCGTTTCTTTCATTTTGATTAGATGTTTGTGTAAGAAACCCTTAAGAGTTAGCGTAATTTAAGTGATTTAAGATGCAAAGAATTTGGCTATGTATAATGGTGCATGTTATTAAAGCTATAGATGTTGGTATATGTGTCTGAGAATATTGAAAATTTTGAACCTTAGGGGATATAAGATGCATATTCTTTAGACCCAGCAATTGTTACTTCAAAGGTTTATATTTGGTGAGAAACCCTAGCTTAATGCCAGGCAAACTAATTTCGTTGTTCTTATTGCATTAAGGCATGTAATTGTCTTCTTTTCTTATTGGATTGGTGAAGAAACAACTACTCTAAAGAGTAAAGATGTTATTTCTTAATACAAAAAAATGAAAAGAAAATTTAAAGTGGTAAGGGGGTGCCAAAGCAAGTAGAAGGCTGATTTCTTATAGAAAAAATGATGAATTAATATAAGTGTCTTTTAGTTTTCTCTTTGTCAATGCCAAGTTAAATGAATTTCATCATTTCTGTAGCTTGGGTTTGTGGAAGTGGCAAATGAACTTTACAGTCACTGGGTTTTCTGCAATTCAAAATGAATTTTATTGTTTTTGTCTTGTAGAGTAGTAGAAGACTAGAAGTAAAGTGTAATCCCCTGCCTTCTTGAATCTTGTGGGAAGTTGATGTTTCAGTATTTATTTGGTGCTACTGCATTCAGTTGTTTATAGTTCTGGAGATTTGACACTCCCCTCCCTTCCTGCTTCCCTTCCTCCCAAAACCCCTCTGTGCCCCTAATCTCTCTAAAGAAAAGGTTTTGCTGGTAGAGATGGAAGTCAAATTAATACACAGCCAATTTTCTCCTTTCAAGATGATTTTGTGGGGCTAATTTGGACCCAATTTTTTTTAAACCTCTGCTAGTTTTAGTAAAGTTGAAACTACTCATATGATTGTTTTCAGCTTACGATTTAATTAAAGAACAATATGTGTATATTGTCCTACTCTTACAATTCATGATCCAAGCCTTTTTATTATATTGAAATACTCATGTTCTGGTGGCATTTGCTAGGGTAGCACCTTGCATGTTTTGGAGTCCAACTACATCAGGTTTTATGTTTTTTTCCCTGTGTTTTTGTTTATGGTGTAAAACTTAATGATGTTTGATGGTTTCAAGTACTACTGCATAACTATGACCATGTTTGGCGTTATACTAATTCAGGGCCATCTACAATTTGTTTGTATTTTATGTCTGGTTGTTATTGCCTCTTTCACTTGTTTCCTTTAATAAATTAATTCTTCAGAGATTTCTCTGTTTTTTTTTTGGATGATGTTCATGCTTAAAGCTTATTTTTGTTTCAATTGAATTGCAGGACTAGCAGGTGCCACTGCTGATGTGCACTGTTATGATGTGTTAACTAATAAATGGTCGAGGTAAGCCAAGGAATAAGGGTTCATTACTGCTGTTTTACCTTGCTAAATTCCTCTTAGCTTGTCATGTAATTAATTTCACAGGATCTCACCCTTTGGAGAGCCACCTACACCAAGGGCTGCACATGTGGCAACTGCTGTGGGAACTATGGTAGTTATTCAGGTTAGGACAACAATGCAGTATTTTATACATATGTTTTTTTCTGGTTACCATGTCATTTTTAGTTGAACTTTTTTCCTCTGCAATAAGGAATTCCTCATCTGAAGCTTTGATTTCAACTCAGGGTGGAATTGGTCCGGCTGGTTTGTCTGCCGAGGACCTTCATGTTCTTGACCTCACACAGCAACGACCACGGTGGCATAGGTTCGTCCTTGAAGTATGAATGCGTATGTACCTTATTTATGGTGTTAAGTTTGATCTACTGATATGAATGTTAATTGTTCTTCAGGGTTGTTGTTCAAGGCCCTGGGCCAGGGCCACGCTATGGACATGTGATGGCTTTGGTGGGGCAAAGGTATCTCATGGCGATTGGTGGAAATGATGGTAAGTAATTTGTTATTCTGTTTTTATTGTATGCATTCTTTGAAGATTATCATGAAATTTTCTTTATATTTTTTATTTACATGTATGCTGAGATAATCTAATGAATTCTTTGCTGAAAATTTGATGCATTTGTAGGGAAGCGACCTTTGGCTGATGTGTGGGCCCTAGACACTGCTGCCAAGCCTTATGAATGGCGTAAATTGGAACCAGAAGGGGAAGGTCCACCTCCATGCATGTAATCTCTCTCTCTCTCACATGCACACACACACACGCGCGCTCATGCGCGCACGTGTTCTTGTGCCAACACAATCTTAGATTATATGGTTTAGGGCTATATGTTGCATTATGTTGGTCTATTTTTATAGTGTTGGATTTCTTAGAAGGAGCAGTATGCAAGATATGAACAAAAAAGTTAGTCACTTCCATTATAGCATATTTATTGCTATCTTACCTGCATGTGGTTGGACATGATAAATTGATGATTATTGATGTAACTTTACCTATTTCTTCCTTCATAGGATGTTTTAACATAGGATGTTAAAGCTCAGAGCCTGTGGTCTCTGAAATGATCTTAAGCTTGCATCCTATTGGATTGTTGTTGTTTATTTTTAGTTATTTGATAATTTATCCAGGTGATTTTATGCTATTTCCTCATTGACAATTTCTGTTTAACCAGGTATGCTACTGCAAGTGCACGCTCAGATGGTCTTCTTCTACTTTGTGGAGGGAGGGATGCAAACAGTGTGGTGAGTTGAGAAGTCTGCATTCTGTGGGGTCTAGACTTAGTAAATGGATGGCATAAGAATTTCTTTTATGAAGAGTATGGCATAAGATTTGATAAGCTATGGTATTATCTTGTCACTTGTTACTGCTTTAGGGCAGGCTTTTCTTATTCAGTTAGGGTAAATCTTAAATACATCTGAATAAATATTGACACAGATCTGAATATACAGTATCTTTGTAGAGAGGGAGGGAGAGGCATTCTAATAAAAACTGAAGAATCAGGAAATAATAGCAATGAAGATATTTTAAAAGATTGAGCTTAGATGCATGTGAAATGGTATCATAGTTTTTTGTCATTTTTGTTCTTTTGAAATGTTTCTATCCCTTTATACCTTTAGATTTGGTCAACCTGTTCTCTCTTCATGGTTTATTCTTTCTGTGATTCTTTTTTCAGCCATTGGCAAGTGCATATGGACTTGCAAAACACAGGGATGGTCGGTGGGAATGGGCAATTGCTCCGGGTGTCTCACCATCTCCAAGATATCAACATGCAGCAGTGAGTATTGTTTTTCTTCCTTTCCTTTTCTTTTTTTGCTGTAATTTAGTTAACTACATGACATCTTTTAGTTAGATGAATCACATGTACATAAATATGTTTCTAGGTCTTTGTCAATGCAAGGCTCCATGTTTCTGGTGGGGCACTTGGCGGTGGACGCATGGTTGAAGACTCATCAAGTGTTGCAGGTATTTTTTTTCTTTGTTTTGTAGTCTCTTGACTTCTTGACTATGTGATGTGCCTGCTGGTGCTTTTACTCATTTACGCAAGTGTGGGTTTGTAAAATCTTAAAAGTTCAAAAGCACTTTTTCAGGTTAAATCTGTTATAGATTTCCCCCAATGTAAACATATATTTGGTTGCTCTTCCCTGAGCTGCTGGAAAGGATGCCATGGTAGTGTAGAAAGTAGCGAACAACTTTCTAAGCTCTTAAAGCTGTCCACCCTTTCTCCCATCTCAATATTCTCCAATCATGTAAATTGAAGTTTTCCTGCTGATTCCTTTTGTTCTCTGTCTCCCACCTTCTTGTGTGAGAAATTATATATGAGTTCATTAACATCTGCCATCCTCTAACTAACAGACCAACATTATTATTGCTGTTTGATATTTTAATAATCTTTATCAGAAAGTTGTAAGACTTAATATTTACTTGAAGGTTTTGTTACATCAATTGCAGGCACTATTAAATTTATGTCAAAAAGCAGGAATTATTCAATGTCTTATTTTATTGTTAACATAGGATTACGTTAACTGATAGTATTGTTATGTCGAGCATTCAGCAATTTATTGTCAAAGGAAACGCCATCTCCCGAAATCTATTAGTTCCTAACTTTTTCTTCTTGTTGATAGTGTTGGATACTGCTGCGGGAGTTTGGTGTGATACAAAATCTGTTGTTACTAGTCCAAGGACTGGCCGGTACAGTGCTGATGCTGCTGGTGGAGATGCTTCAGTGGAGTTGACAAGGCGTTGCAGACATGCTGCTGCAGCTGTTGGTGACTTAATATTTATTTATGGTGGTTTGCGTGGTGGTAAGATAGCCTTTTATTCTACAATCTGTTTATCCCATTCTTTTCTAGTCCTAGCATGAAGTTATCAGTTATCAATTAGATTCATTATGCCATTATATTATAATGCATTATTACAGTTTCACTTCATATCTGAATTGTATGGTTAATCTAGAATGACAGGTCAGCCAAAGGCTTTCATTCTTAATGGAATATGGTTTGAGGAATAAAGATGTTTTTCCCTATACGTAACTTAATCTTTAATTTCGTCAATTACTATTTGTAAGGTGTGATACTTAGTTGATGCATTTTGGGATTCACATCTAGTCCTTTAAGTTGCTATCTTTGGTGCTGAGTGCTAGCCGATATGATAATTAATTTGTGATAATTTAAGTAGGGCAGTAATGGGTTGTATTTATGCTATAGGAGTGTTGCTTGATGACCTGCTTGTTGCGGAAGACCTGGCTGCTGCTGAGACAACAACAGCAGCTTCACATGCTGCAGCTGCAGCTGCTGCTTCTAATGTGCATGCAGGGCGGTTGCCTGGGAGGTATGGATTTGTTGATGAAAGAACAAGGCAAACAATGCCTGAAGCAGTTCCTGATGGTTCAGTTGTGCTGGGAAATCCAGTTGCTCCCCCTGTAAATGGGGACATGTATACTGACATAAGCACTGAGAATGCCATGCTTCAAGGATCCCGGTAATCTACATACTGTATTTTTCTTGTTTTATCGATGTTGAATGGTTGAGCTTTCTCAATTAATCCAAGGAGCTGCTAAAATGTGGTTCATCATGCAGGAGGATGAGCAAAGGTGTTGAGTATTTGGTTGAAGCATCAGCTGCAGAAGCGGAGGCTATTAGTGCCACACTGGCTGCGGCCAAGGCACGGCAAGTTAATGGAGAAGTTGAACTTCCTGATAGGGATCGTGGGGCAGAGGCTACACCTAGTGGAAAGCAGATGTCTACCTTGATCAAGATGCCTGATTCTGCTGGGTCAAATAGTGTTGCTCCAGCTGGAGTTCGGCTTCATCATAGAGCTGTGAGTATCAGAAAATTTGAACTACATGATCATCGTCTCAAGTCAATATTGGCAGTACCTGATTATCTATAGCTTTGTGTCTTTTATTTACTTTTATGCGGACAGGTTGTTGTAGCTGCAGAGACTGGTGGAGCTCTAGGTGGAATGGTCAGACAGCTTTCAATTGACCAATTTGAAAATGAAGGTAGGCGGGTTAGCTATGGAACTCCAGAGAGTGCAACTGCAGCAAGGAAACTATTAGATAGGCAGATGTCAATCAATAGTGTTCCAAAAAAGGTACTGGTAGCCTTACTTTTGTGCATCATAAAGCAGTATCCCTTTGTTGTGGGGCAATTGGTGAATGTGTCTCTAAGTGAAAGGAAGAGTTGAATGGTATAGCAGGATATGCATGGCTGATGTAAACGCCGAATTCTATAACTTAAGAATGATTTCTTTCTATTTGAATGGTTTGTGAAGACGGTTTACTTTATGGAGTAAGAGATTGTTATGGCATTATCTTTATTGCAATGAATATTGAGTTTAGTTTGAGATGATCAGAATTAAGATGAATCTTTTTTATTTTTATAGATATGGTACTCCATACATTTAGGACAAGAGTATTTATTTTTGAACTCTCAAATGATGATGACAGGTTTCTCGCTTCTTTTTATCCTAATGGCACACATTTAATATCCTCAAATATGTTCTGTATTGTGCCTAAGGTGGTTATTTCCCTAGATGCAACTTGGAAAGCGATAAGAGTGACGATGTGTTTGGATTTACTTGCACATTTATATATCTTAAAGCAGTGAAATAAATCTCCTTTGACTTTGAAATAAATCGTAGCTTAAATTCATGGTATAAAAGGAAAGGTAAAAAAAAGCTTGAAAAGCTACAAATTGTGTCGTTTGTAATTTATGAGAACGCCAGATTTCATTACTGTCCTTTTGATGCATTATAAGATCTTGTCATTGCTTTGCAATCTTTAGCCATGCACACCAGCATTAAAGAATAAAAATAAGTTAATTATTGATTTTCTGATATATTGCTTCTGTTATTAGTTCTCCAGAGCTTGGAGAGAATTCATTCTTGAGATTTCTCTTGTTCTATTGCATTACTAGACATAGAAATCCATAACCTTTTTTCTTGAATATGCCAGTTTAATATTAATGTGGTTGTAATTATTTTTACACATTGAACCCTGGATTTGTTTTTCAATTGGTTATTGAGATACTGCTGCATGTTATAGCTGATAGAAGTTTCTCTTAAGAATTGGATTAATCTTGCATCGGTGCTTCTGTTATATCTTCCCAAATGCTTTGAAAAGATTCATTTTAAATTATAATGGAGTGTCTATATATTACTTTGCCAGGTCATTGCGCATCTTTTGAAGCCTCGTGGTTGGAAGCCTCCAGTTCGCCGACAGTTTTTCTTAGATTGCAATGAAATAGCAGATCTTTGTGACAGTGCTGAACGAATATTTTCAACTGAACCCAGTGTTTTACAGCTGAAGGCACCTATAAAGATTTTCGGTGATCTCCATGGACAATTTGGGGATCTTATGCGCCTTTTTGATGAATATGGTGCACCTTCAACAGCTGGGGACATTGCGTAAGTGTTCTGATAAAAAAAACTTCTGGTCTCAAGGCTTTTTGCTGGTGATTTGTCAACATGGCTAAGGGTTTCATCTGACATTTCTCTATATCTATAAATACTGTTGTCTGCTTAGTGTAATCTGCATATGCTGCGTTGCATCTCATTGGAGTTTACGCTTGGACATTTTATCTACTTGATAGTAATTTTGTATTAATTACAATCAGGTATATCGATTATCTCTTCTTAGGAGATTATGTGGACCGGGGCCAACACAGCTTAGAGACCATTACTCTTCTACTTGCTTTGAAGGTAAATTTGATTTTGGTGCTACAATAATCTTCCCATGCTCACTTTTACTTCCTATTAAAGTTGTGATGAGCCAAGACTTTTTCATATTTCTGTTGAAATTGCAGGTCGAGTATCCCAGTAATGTACATTTAATTCGAGGGAATCATGAAGCTGCGGATATCAATGCACTTTTTGGCTTTCGTATAGAGTGTATTGAGCGCATGGTATTGTTTCGTATGTGTTAGAAAATGTTTTGCATTCTTTGTATAACGTTTTAGCCACAAATCTGATGGCTTGTGTAACAGGGTGAGAGAGATGGAATATGGGCATGGCATCGCATAAACCGTTTATTCAATTGGCTTCCTCTGGCAGCTCTAATTGAAAAGAAAATCATTTGTATGCATGGTGGTATTGGTCGGTCAATAAATCATGTGGAACAGATTGAGAATCTACAGCGTCCAATTACAATGGAAGCAGGCTCGATTGTTCTTATGGATTTATTATGGTTAGAGTGTGTTACTATTTTATTTTGGTCCTGAAATATAAGAGCATTCCTTTCATTTGGCGATGACATTTTATTGCAATTTCTTCCTTAGGTCTGATCCAACAGAAAATGATAGTGTGGAAGGATTGCGACCAAATGCTAGAGGTCCAGGGTTGGTTACTTTTGGGGTGAGTTTGCTACTTTGAAAACTTTTGTTAAACTTTAGCATTTAAAGTCTTTATAGCTGCATGTTGCATTGATTTCAACACTTGAGATGAAGTTCTTACATGGTCACATGGTGCTTTGTGAAGTAATTTCACTGCCAATTATGGCTGGCTGGCTTGTTGATCTCCTTGTTGCATTCACGAAACTGTTTCTGTCCTTTTCCTCCCTGGTTTTATATTGTATGATGCCATGTGTAACAAACTGTTGAAAGTAAAATTTTTTTACTTAAGACACTTGTTTAAGTTGCTTCTGTGTTTCTTTTTCCCCTTTGCTTGTGCAGGTCTATCTGTGAGAAAAACTTTATCTTTGTTCATTACTTGAATATTGATTTTGGATGTTATGCTCATGTAAATGGTTTTTCCTGTTGCAGCCTGATCGTGTTATGGAATTCTGCAATAATAATGATCTTCAGTTGATTGTTCGTGCTCATGAGTGTGTGATGGATGGCTTTGAACGCTTTGCCCAGGGACATTTAATCACCCTTTTCTCAGCCACCAATTATTGCGGTGTGTCCTTGACCCATGCTTTCATATACTGGGTACAATCTGTCAAGTCCACAGACAATTTAGTCCTTAAGTTCTGATTCATGCTTGTTGTTTCAGGTACCGCTAATAATGCTGGTGCAATCTTAGTTTTGGGTAGAGATCTCGTGGTGGTTCCGAAACTCATTCATCCTTTACCCCCAGCAATGTCATCACCGGAAGCATCACCGGAACGTCATATAGAGGATACATGGATGCAGGTGCTGCCCCTTTCTCTTTGGTAGCAGTAATAATATTTTTTGTTTATTTCTGTAGGCTTTTATTGTGTACGTGCATTGCTTTTTATATTCATATTGTTAATATTTATATATATATTTGTGTGGTCAGGAGCTGAATGCTAACAGACCTCCAACACCTACTAGAGGTCGTCCTCAAGTAACAAATGATCGGGGCTCTCTTGCTTGGATATAGTAGATCCCTCCAATTGTTTCCATGATACTCATTTGGGCTCATGCTACCACCTGGGGATTCTGGTGTTCTGTATAGAGCATGATGCCATATACAGGCATTTTCCGAACTGGTAGTCTCTCCTGTTAAGAGTTTGAAGGCTTTATGACATTTTTGGTTTTTCGCCGGTTTTGAGCATACGGTAGGCCTTGAGATAATGCAAGATGCAAGTGTTCGGAAAGCAGATTGCAGGCGGGATTAGGTTGACAATGATAATGTGGTGAAAGTTGCAATCTGGGGTTGACCCCCTGTAAATGGAGCCACAGGCAGAGGCAGGTAGAAGTGCAGATGGGGTGGTTTTATTAAGAAAGGGGTTGGTAGTGTGGGGAGTATTTTTCACATTTTAGTCTTTTGTTTTTTTTTTTTTCTTTTTAAATTTTTATATATTTTTTATTCCTCGTTGTAGGTCTTCTAATATTTTTCCCACCTTTTGAGGTCCGTGCTTCCTTTATATGTGATGATGATGAGAGATATAACATTAAAAATCTTGTATCATAGAGGTGTTGATTGGTGTAATTCTCAATTCTGCTCTGTACAATGTAACGTTTGTGTGAAGATAAGAACACTGTTGTCCAACATCAAATTCTTAGAATTTTGGGTCATAAAATTTAGATATTTATGCTTCCACCATCAATAAACACAGTATGTGCAAGTGGAACCTTTCCTTCCCTTTCCTTTCAAATAAAGCAAAAGGTAATAACACGATACCACCGAAATTACTCCATAAATAAATCTGCTTATTGTGTTTCTCTTTTTTAATTGAGAGATGGGAGATTCGAATTTTACTTTTTAAGTAAAGGGTTTATTAGTTTGTTTTGCTAAAAAAGCCTATACTAGACTAGGGTCCCGTAGCTCAGTTGGTTAGAGCGTTGGTCTTATGAGCCGAAGGTCGCGAGTTCGAGCCTCGCCGGGACCATTATCTTTTTTAATTATTAAACAAATAAAATGAAAAATCATTATATAAACGATAGTATGTTTTGCCCTGCATAGTTAAAAATAACAATAAGCGCAAAGGATAATAGGAGGATTGATAACTGGCGAAGGAAAAGGGGATGAAAAACAAAATGGTAAGCTTTTATAAGAAAATAACAAAAAAGAAAAGTTTTCCTGCATGTATTTTTCTTTTACAATAATAATAATAATAATAATAATAAGCCTCTTCAGATACATGGGTTCATACAAGCTTCAGCTCAACCTACATTCTCAAGTCCTTCACTGCAGGAACAGTTGTCCTGGCTACCACAGCAGTTAACCCCGCTTTACAGGCCTTTGAACATATGATTTGTTGGGATCCTCTGTTTTGAGTTTGGGGGGGCGAAGTTCTCCTTTCTTAGACTGCAATTATGCAAAATTATAGAACAGTCGTCAGTCTTTAATGCTAAGTCTCCTTTGCTTTCATTACCTTTATGACTCCATCGTTGCTCACCCAAAATCAAAGCACAACTTCAATATAACTCACCTTTTTCCCTGACTTCATGAAATCCCTCCAACTTGAAACCTGGTGAGCAAAGAAAAAGGGAAATCAAAACAAAGCCTAGTTATTGTACAAAAAGACAAAAATCTGTGTAATGGAATTATTTTCTGAAATAATCAACACGGTATGATGGTAAGTTCGTAAACATACATCACAACTAGTAAGGATTCCATTAAACCTAGAAAGGAATGATAAATTAACTGTTTAACCATCCAAGAACCATAGAGTAATTCTACATCACAACTTGACTTTTCTTCCCCCTCCTGCTTTATTTCAGGATGAACTGTCTAAAGTGTCAGCTAAGGATGTCAATGAAAAAAAAAGGAAAACATACTCGCTGCTCCCTTGTTCCTTCCCACTGCTCCTCATGTTCGCGCTTCCTTTTCCACATCTCCTTTTGCTCTTCTTCATCCTTCTTTAGACGCCCTTCCTCTTCAGATATCTAAATAACATAAAAGTGGTGATTAGCTCTGATGGTAGGAAGCTTTAAACAAGAACAGCTACGAAAGCAAGGATATTGACAGAATCCAGCATACCCTCATTGCCATTTTTCTCCGCCGCCATTCCTGCTCTGTTAATAATTCTCGAACCTTCAACTTCAACTCCTGCTGGAACTCCTCTGATTGTTCGTATTGTTGCTCAGATTTCCCCTGGAAATAAACAGACGAGCTTATTCTCTTGGCATAAAAATCTAGACGCATTGGACGGAAAAGGTCAGCAACAAAAATTCAATTCCATTAAAAAGCAACATCAGACAGAAAAGCCAAGAAGAAATTCCATCATGGGCTCACAGCTATTATTTCTTCACAAATAAAAATTATGATCAATAAAGACTGCACATTGCAGACCAATCAATCAATATGAAATGCATGCAAGAAAATAAATTAAGGACATACCTCATCAACTAATAACTTTAACTTAGAAGCTGTGTCTTTCTTTAACTGCTTCTTCCTCTTTGCTCTAAGTTCTTCTGCACATTGCATCAGATGAAATGTGACAACTTTTTTATTTGTTACCAGCAGTTTCGATTTCATTTTGTTTTGTTTTTTCAAGTAACAAAGGAAAAAAAAAGCTCAATTCAAAAGACCAAATGGAACAGATATATGCTATGATAGCATATACCAAGCAATAATCATTCTCATTTTACAAAATTGAAAAGTTCACTAGTTATTTATCATACTAACTACATGAAACATAAAAGCAAAAGTTAACAAAAGAAAAGTGAAAACTAAATCTATCATTAAGACTCTGCTTCAATTACACGGCACCAGCAATAAGATACCAAACAAGTTTTTCTGATTTTCAAGATAGTTTTGAGTGAGAAGCAGCTGTGCTATGGAACAGGGAAGCCCTCCTCAAAAAGAATTTAAGCACTACCTTTTGCAGCAGTTACTTGGCTTAGGATATAATCCCTTTCTTGTTGATCAAGCAATTGTTGTTGGGCTTTTGCTAATGCTGTTCACAGTAAAAAACCCAGTGTAGGTAATACAATCTAATATAACATTTATAATATTTCTAAAAAAATATGTGCATCACATGAAATGACCAATACAAATTATCACTAATAATTCTTCATTCGTACCATGGATAAACAGAACATAGAGGTGTACATAACATGATGACAGGATGAAGATGCAAGATGCGGCATCCTAACATCTTATGTGAAAGTAGCGGCACAAAGCCAAAATTAATCTTACTGCATCTTTTGATTTACTAGGGCTATTAGGGCCAAATAGAGAGCATAATTCTAAATTCATTAACTTGTTTTATCTTGTTAATTTTTGTATTCAGCATCAGCACATCATATAATCTTCTATTTTTGGCCTGAATCATAATCATCTTCCAATGCTTTTAACTTTCATCTCAAGTTTCATATTGTTTTGAACAAGCAACCCAATGCGTAGTTCAACTCCATGATCCTAGAAAGCAACTCAAATGAATTCAGAATTTGTCAAGATTGACTTGCATGCTTGAAGTTGCTTCAGAAAATCCAAATAGGAAGGTCTTCAAGGAGGGAGTGAACATTCAAAAGAGTAAATGCAGTCAGAAAACCATAGCTTTATAATCAGCAGAAGCCCTAAATGTTGGAACAAAATATCTCCCTCAAGAATCAGCAATTCGGAATGTAAAGAAGTTGAATTTTATTTCCTATGCAACCTTGGCTCCTTTCTGAAAATCAATAAAGCTTCAATGTGCTTCCATTAACAAAATTGAAATGTTGTCTGTCTATGCTTTTTTGGTCAGAAGGTGGTTGCGGGGGCCTGGTGTGTGTGTATGTGTCTGTTTATGGGGGACGGGGGGAGGGAGGGAGGGAGGGAAGCATATCCATAATTCATTTTTGCAAAAATATTTGTCACAAAGCACCACAAATGTGGGAACAGAAAAGAATCAAAGTAAATAAAAGTGATAAATTAATAAATGATAATGTTCTATTTAAAAGTTTATCTGATAGGGCTTTCCAAATACGAGAAAGAGCACCAAATAAGACAAATATTATAACCTACTTACCTCCAAAAGCCTCTTTTGCTTGTGGATGCTTGCATTTGTCAGGGTGGACCATTAATGATAACTACAAATGTTTAGCAGGGAATAAATCAATAAATAACCAAGTAAAAAATTATCAATGGCTGCGGAAACAGTCAAGGAAAAATTAGAATACCTTACGATACTGCTTTTTGACATCTTCTGGAGATGAATCAAATGCTAGGTTCAGAAACTCAAATGGATTTAACTTGAAGCATGAAAGAATCCTACAATTTTCAGAAAACAGTTTAAATGTGCCAATAGTTATTAAGAGAGAACAGAAGAAAGGAGCTCATCAATGATAAACCAAAGTTGCTTTTCAAAAAAAAAGAATGATAAACCAAAGTAATTAACTGCTTGATAGAAGAAAAGCATAACAATCAGAAGAAACATACAACAAAAGGTAATGCATCATGAATGGTAAGATCAAAGATCATCTATAAATGATCGTGAAGTAGCTTCCTTACTTAGGCCCACATCACTTTGGTATTGAACCAAGGATCTGAAAGAGTAAAGGTCTCTCAAGCATTAAGATGATTGTTTCAAATTAATTGGGCCCTTAGGGAATGTCATAAAGTACAGGTCATGAAATTACACAAAATCTGAGTCAGAGTATGGGGCATGACCCACCACACAGAACAAAAGACTTTGGCAAAACTGAAAGTATTTGTAGGCACATATCCAACATGCATACCTATACCTAAGCAATAAGGAAAGGACTACACATAAGCAGCTTTCTCATTTTAAGTCTATTCCTATCTAGCAGGGTAAATAGTAGTCAATAGTACCCAAAAGCCCTTAAACTTCTCACGCTGATTCGACTAATAGAGTACTGGTTATACCTATATTGAAGGTGTCCATGCCACTCCCTTAGAAAATACTGCATTTAGGGCTTTCACCAACTTTAATAGCAATACTTAACCATAATCTTGAAAAGTTCATCTATATCAAGTTCTAATGTAAAAAAGTGTAATTTAGAATTCCAAAACAGACCAAATACACAGATTACCCATCAAACTTATATGGAAAAATATTGCGCTACGAAATTTATACAAACATTTCTTTACTAAGCATATTGTTATATCTATAAATACCAAATTTAAAAGTTACCCAATTAAGCCAATTGATAGAACATGCCATTTGAGCTCAAATTTTACCAAAAGAAAGCAACTGTACAAATAAAACAAATATATTAAAAATTCAAACTTTTCCCAATTCATATTTGATAAAATTATCAAAGAATAAACCCTAATAGCTGAGACCCGTCAAACCAAAATCACCATAATAATTCCAAAAAGAAAAACAGAGAAACCTGATGACTTCATTGTCTCGTTCAACTTCGCTGACTTCGGCGAAGAACTCTTTGAGAAGCAAATCCTCATCGACGCTTGCGTTGCTCTCTCCCATCGCTGGATTTTTTTGCTTAATTACCACTCTCACTGATTCTCTTTTTGATGGCTAATGCGCAGGCCTGCCTTCGCTTTTGCCTTGCGAGAGCCGGGGAGAAGCAATAGAAATCGGGCCGGCCGGCGCAGACCATAGATTCGGGCCATGGGTCCATTGTGGTTCAACCAAAAGCCTCAGAAAAGTGGAATTACTAGTCCACGTTTCAAGCTCAGAACACTTTTATTTTATTGGTGTATTTTTTTTAAAAAGAGCAATTTATTTATGTTGTTTATTATTTTTGAAGAAAGCAAATTTTTTTTAAAATACAATTAATTTTTGTACCAATAAAGTTTTAACCTTTATTATGAAGAGTAATCCAGTTGTAACAATCATGGGAGTTTTCTTATGCAAACTCATAATATAATATATTTTTATTTATTTCGATTTTAACCCCCAACTTATGGTGACAATATAACCATGTTTTTTTCTATTAGTAATTCTTTTTTTTAATTCTATGAAACAGTTTTAACTATTTTATTACATGGAGGTTATTCTTAATTAAAAACAAATTCCATACATAATAAATTACAAATCAGTTTATAGGGAACTTTGGGTTAAAACAATTCATAATTTAGTCATTGATAGATAAGAAAATTGATGATAATAGCAATTAAATGTCTTAGCTGAATTTGGGTAGTGAGAAACAAAACAATGAAGCATTAATAGTTGGGCTGAAATGTTGGCAACATCAATGAGGCCCATGAGCAATGGGCAAAAGGGTTGAAATCATGTGAAAAGTGGGAAAACGAAGTAAAGCAGAGTGAGGGTTGATCTTTCCATATTCTGAGACCCCACTCAAAGAAAGTTTTTGTACGAAATAAATAGTAATATTCCAAAAATTCTTGTTTGAAATATAAAATTATTTAATTTAATGAAATGCTATAATAAAGTAGAAATATCCATCACAGTCATAACCTTAACCGGAACAGAAAAGGAACAAGGCGTATCAATTTGCCGATGATTATGTTCCCAAAATGAAAAGCATGTTAGGCCAGACAGGACCCATGCCGAAACCCCATTGGCTCAAGAATTTTGCCAAAAGCAAGAAAGCAAAGACAGACGAGACAGTCCACCAAGTCAAAAGATGATTGATGTGCTTAAATTAAAGATTTTGTTTCGCATAGGCACAGAATCATAGCAACTCACTGCTACCATTTTATATATGAAAACACTGTTGAAGTCTTCTGTCCTTCATTATCCCAAAAGTATTCTCTCCCTTTTCTTCATCTTTTTATTAAAATTTGACTACACAATCACCCTCAAGGAGTGGAGGTGGAAAAACTAGCTAGGAGGGAGAGAAAAAAAACACAAGAAGAAGAAAGAAGATAGGGTAGTAGTAAGTAATAACAATAATTATAGGCACAATTTTGGATTAAGACATGGAATTTTGATGTGTGGGGGGGTTGGGTTGGGTTGGGCATTGATCATCAGGAAGTGGCAATGCAATAGGGCTCCCAGAAGAGAAGAGACCTCCTAGCTTCCTTGCAACCCTTTAACAAAGGAACAAAGTAATCACCTTTGTTCCCTCTCAACACTAGCAATTGTTGTTGTTCATTAGCCAATAGATTCTTGGACAGAATAAGCTGCTGGTTACTGTTGTCCTCCAGTGGAAATGTTGACTGTTGACCAAGTGGGTTAAGAACTGCTGCCTTTGACATGGGCTGATTGGGCTTCCAGTAGCACTCATAAGCGTTGAATGATGTAGCTGCTGCGGTTGACGGTGGTGATGGTATCAGCCTACGCACCCGCGGCCGCGGGGGCAGTGACTGTGCTAGTGGTGGGGCGGTTGGCTCAACGACCTTCTCCTCCCTTTCCTCTCCAAATTTAACTATTTCATCGAAATTTTTAGGCCATGTTGGGTTCCTATTTGCTAACCATATGGGCTTGTTCATCATTACAGCTAACCTATGCACATTCATTGCTCCACTTGAAAGTTTAGGAGCCTGCTCAATCACATAACAGCTATCTTCTACTCCCTCAATTTCATTCTCACTAATTTCCTCTTCTTCTTCTTCATCTATTTCACTTTCTTGCTCTTCTTCTCCAAAGCTTTCAAACTCTTCTTCTAGCTCTTCCACTTCCTTTACTTCTTCTTCTTCTTCGACATTCATTACTTCATTAACCATGGACTCTGCTTCACTAGGAATGGTATTGGCAAAAGTAAGAACGAGGCGACCGTCCTGGCGTTGAGCAAGAAAGTTGTTCTGTGAAGGCACAGAAACAGCTTCAAGAACCAATCTGCCATTATCACGATGAGTCTTCATGCGGACAGATGCTCCATCTTTGCGAGAAAGAGAAGGAATTGGTGGAGGAAATGATCGGTGTGGCGATTTCTTGCCAACATCGCAGTTATATTTCACAATTCTTGGTTCTTCACCATCAAAAGAATTCAGCTGTGCCTCTCTCTCCTGCTTTTGCTGTTGGAGTTCTTGATCTTCTTCTTTATCTTCCTCCATGTCACCAGTTTCTGATGGAGGGTATGAAGAGAACCCATCTGAACCAGTCTCGGAACCAAGGCTCTCAGTGCAAATTTCGAGGCTTTTCTCGCTTAAAGAACTAGCTGATCTTTTCACAAGAGGGTGAATATAAGGAGGGGGAAGTGACTTTGAAGGGTCTTCCTGAGCCTTCTCTGATATGATTGAGGTCCATATATCGAACAGGCCGGGCTTTTCAAGCTCCTTCTTGTTCTTCTCTTGTTGAATCGAAGTCCAGATGTCGAATTGACCTCGTGCTTCAGTGTCCTTCCTTTCTTCAAAATCCTCTTCCCCTTCTTCAGAGGACGAGTCTATGATGGAAACAGGGAATTCCTCGGAGGATGCAATCTTTTTCAGGGGAGAGAATCCATGTTGAGTAAGCCATTTCTTGGAGGACATATCAGCTGAGAGAGTTCTTCTAAGTGAGGCAGCTCTGGATGGTCTGTCGGTATCGGATCCCAGAATGGATACTATACCTTGCTTCTTGGTGACCATGGCCTCCTCAGTGATGTTCAAAGCTGAAGATAAGCGGAGGCTCTTGCTAAGTGGAGCGGACATCTCCAACCACTAGGCAGATTGTACTAAATATGTGTTTATCTGCATAGAGCGGAAAAACCAAACAATGAGAAAAGTCTTGAAACACAAACGAACAAAAAGGGATTAAAAGATGGCTGTACGACAAACAGCAAGTTACTAAGAGACATGCAAGAAATTAAAATTGAAGTTGAAATAGAATGATTACCTCAAGAGAAAAGCAACAGCATCCAACAGAGGTCTGCAAAGAGACCGCTGGGGAGTGCTTTGCTTTGCTTGCTGTGAGGGAAATAATAGAGGAAATAGGATGAGCGAGGATGATGGTTTGAGAGAGGGGGAAGTGGGTGTGGCTTGATGGCAATGGGAGGAAGGGAATGTGGGGGTATTTGTAGTTGTAGGAGGCCACAAAAGGCTTTGGAACCGTGTCCAATGGGACCCGCCTACGCCACCATGAAAAGACTCCTCCATTGGTTTCCAGTTTTTCCCTTATCAGAAAAAGTTGGTGATTAAAGAAAACCAAAACAACAAAAAAAAAAGAGGTCGACTCTAGAGAGGGAGGCCTCATTTTGCGTCACATGCTCTCCCTCCCGGGAATCTATTTCAACTCCTGGCAAACTAAGGCTTATGATATTCAACCCGAAATATCTAATACTATTACTCCAATTCTAGGAGAAATCACGAGCTAAACAACGCAGAACACTAATCATGATTAATTAAGTTTTTATTTGGAATAGCAACGAACATGTTTCCAAATTAAAGCAAGCGAGTCTGTAATTTTATTCTCTGAAATGAAACGGTTAACCTCATTCGTTTGGAACGGTACGTCCATCCTGGGTACACGATATTCGAGTAAAAAAACGCAATCGTGTATTGGTATCGCTGCCTTGTTCTCAACGTGGCAGATCATGGAAGCCAAATAGTGACAAATGGAGAAGAATACAATCCAACAAGAGCTGGACACCATTCATCTTTGGTTGGGGCAACTTCCTGAAACTTACCATCTTCAGATGAACCATCAATCTTCAATTTTATAAAACAATAGTTAAGGAGCAACTATAAAATTACCAATTGAAAAATAAATAGAAGAGAAGCCGAAATGGGAGAGAAAGCTTGGCTGCCAAAAATTGAGAAATATATTACTACACATATTACCAATTTGGTAAGGCAGAAATTAAGGGATAGTGATTGGGACTGAAAATGGCTTGAGGAAGAAGCAAAGGAATCGCTTTCATAGCCAAACATGATTGGGCGGCCAACAACCCATCCATCACACAAACCCTAAGAGAGGCAGAGAGAGATTCCCTCCATCCTTATTATTAATTATTACTTATAAATGTTTGAAAAGAATATTTTTAAGCTTATTCCAAAACAAAACAAAACAAAAAAACCCTAAGCCAAATAAACAAATAATGAAGAATAATGTATGTGGAAACAATTTAAGGCGTCACGTCCAAACTTTGGGCCCCTATGCCCCCACCCCCTTAGTTTTTTTGCTTTGGTTAACTTGTCTTCTCTCTGACTCTGCTGCTTATACGTATATGAAAGAAGAGGCCAATACGTAGCATTATCTATATATACATACCAAAAGTTCGTGATGTTGATGATCAATATCCATTCAAGCACACATTTATAAATTCTGTTACCAAAATAATATATAGGTAATAATTAAATAATTTATTTATTAACAGTTTTTTGTGAACAATGGTACAGTCATATTGTCAAATAATTTGGCCAAAAAGGAGACAACTTTTAAAGATAGCCATATTATACCAAGTTCAAAGCTTTGCCACAAACAGAGGAAGGGCAAAGGAGCCACCCCCTAGATGCCCCTTGTCTGCATATAAAGCAATATATATACCCACTAAAACCTATACAAATCAAATTACATATATCTATATAGTAATTAGCTAGCTATAGGTTGCACAAATTTTTGGACTCTGCGTTTTTAAGTTGCTTCACCACACTCCTTTTTCTGCCCCATTGATCAGTTCAAGAGGGAAAAAAATTATACTATTGATATTCAAATTCAGGGGGCGTTTGACTCATCACTCCTATAGTCTAGTTGATGAAATTAATTTAACATAACAAACCATGTTTAATTGGAAACTTAATTAGGTTATATAATGAACAAATAGTACTCATTACAAGCAGATTGCCAGTGTGCTTAATGGTGCTTGACTATTCATTTCAAATTAACTAATAAATAACAACTACAAGCCACATTTAAGTTAAGGGATGTTATTAGTTTCTCTTTAGTAGGGTAATTACGATTCAAAATGTAAAATTTTCTCCCTTTGAAATTCCTTTGTTCCTCATATATACCATAAAAGGAAAAAGAAAACATTCCAAGCATTTTTATGAATCAATAGATAAAGACAAAAACAATGACACTAACATCGGAACATTTGATTCAGTATGATTGGTGTATATAATTTTTATATAAAATATTATATTTTTTTAAAAAAAGTAATTCAACTGAAAATTAGATCAATATATAGAATATGTATATATTCATTTATTTCTTATGTCATGGAATATCGTGTGGATGTTTAAAAGGTACAGCAAACTTACATTTATGTATTGCCATTGGATGCTTTCTAGATTTTCCCTAGGTTTCTTTTCTTTTTTTTTTTTTTGAATACATTGATGCTCAAGCAATATATATATATATATATATATATATATATATATGTATCCTAATTTAGTGACTCCTGTCAAAGAATCCTTATTGTCAATATCATTTGTCAAATTAACCAATTAAGTTGTAAGAAATTAAGGCAACGAACAGGATTCCCATAATTCCCCAATTCTGCAAAGGGATTCAAATGTAGACGGAAACAAAAACTCAAGGCTAGCCTCTTATGGAATGCCTTGCTTACCAAATTAAAGAGAAGGAAATACACACTGAAAAGTCAAACCACCGACTCGTTGGGTGTAGAGAGAAAATATTTTACATAAAGATGTACTTAGAAACATAAGAAACTCAATTAAAAGCTTGTATACGTATGTACAAGAATATAATTTGCAGACGCCAATAAGTAGTGCCAACTGGGTGAATAAATTCGGAGTTGACTCAACAAAATATAAAAATGATGACGCGAGGAATCCGAATTCTACTTTGGAACAGAATGTTATCAGTACGTACTATCATTACTATTCCTATTATTTATTAAATTGTTAATTATTCTTCTTGGGAAAGGCTGATTAATTAAGATTATTCTACCATATTTCATCTCTTTGTTTGCTTAAAAAGGCAAAAAATACATTCCTCTCCACTGTCTTGTGAAGTAGCCAATAAGCTTGAAAAACCTTGTCAAAGCTATAAAGGGTTCTGCATATTGTTCCTTAATCAATGATATATAATTATTTTTTAATTATGGTTATGACTTATGATTCCACCATATATCTATATAGACTATTAAATTAACCTTTGTGTAGGTGTAAAAAAGAAAAAGGCAGTGGATTAGGACGCATTAATCAATGAACCTAAGTTGGACAATCAAAAGCTAATAACACAATATTGACCATGTAAAATACTTTCTCATTTTTTTTTCTTATACCCTATGAAAAGTATTGTTTGATAGTGTTTGACCTAAGTTTAGAATTGAATATTTTAGGCATTGCCCTAGATGAGTCACATACCTTTGGCATTGCATGCTTTCTTTGAATTTAATTAATCTTAATTTTATTTTTTCTAATTACTGACCTTATCACTTACAATTGCTTTAAGAGTGCATGTTGGTTGTTGTTAATTATTTTTGGGTGTTAATTTTTGGTAACGTCTCAACATCAAACTAAAGGGACATTCGAAGCAAACATATAAAAGTAAGATGCAATTGGATTGGAGAATTGTGGGTTAGGAATTGGATTTGGCAAATGGTACCCTTCATTACATTTCTTTGTTAATTCATTGCAGGCGGTGCAAACTTTTTTGACAAGAGTTGAAACTACGTCATATAAGGAATAAGATCTACTAATTAAGTTTAACATAGACCTTTTAAGGGGAGACAAAGTGAAAAAAAAATGAGAAGAAAAATATGTATATATTCACCATGATTTGTTTTCCTTGTCACCATGATCATTAGATATGTGACTTGTTCATGCATCACCACCACTACTAGCAAATAGCAATTCAATATTCCTAAGTAATTAAAAGTGACTATGCTAGTTGTCACAGTTACCGCGTGGATGCAAATTTTATATCATCGAGGTAATGCTTTCAGTGGGTAGAACCACAAAGTTCCACATTGAAGAGAAACTCTCAACTAGAGTAAAGGGGAATGTCATAGATCCTAGAAATGGGTGTTATGAATTTTACATTGGTTATATATTAAAGTGATACTGGGTATATAAAAATTCACACTATTTTCAATATGTGAGACTAACGGATCGAGGTAGATAATACCTTATAAGAGATGGTTTGGACCGTGACACTAATAGATGAAATAATTTGCAAGCTTTTTTAATGTTTTGGAGTTTTGCTTTACTTTATTGTTCTTAAGTGTTTTTACTCTAGTGGTCTTGTATATAATCTGCTTGTGTTTATCAAATTAATACACGTATTTAATTCTTCTAATTTTTTAATTTGTATTTTAGTAAATAATTTAATGATAAATACAAATATTTTGTTATTTAAAAAGTTGAATTCAAATCATTCTTTATTGAAGTAAAAAAAATATTCTTTTTGGTTCAAATTTAGCCATATTTCCTAAACTTGGATATGCAGATTAAGTAACCCCTTTCCTAAAAGCTTTCATGCATTCACTTATCTACAAGATTGCAGTTACTGTTTAATCACAACTCACTAAATGTTAAATTCAATGATATCAAATTAAAGGAATAATATTTCAAAAACCCATAAACTATTTAAAAATATTTAAATAAGTCTTTATTTTTTATTACATTTAATTAAGTTTTTATATTTTTATTTTGAATTAAATAAGTTTTTATAATTAATGATTGATTAACTGTTGTTAGTCAAACGCCATTTGTCATTTTATGCCACGTGATATTGTTGTGTCATATTGATATATAATATGATACGATGATATAATTATGTGATTTTTTTACTATGCACATAAGTGTCAGGCTCATGTGATATCAAAATCACTTGAGTATAAAATGATAAATATCATTTAGACTAATAACAATTAATCAATCATTGATTGTGAGGGTCTATTTAAACAAAAATAAAAGTATATCAATTTAATTAAGTGTAATAAAAAAACAAATTTATTTAAATTATTTTAGATAATTTTAAAAAAATTTAAGTATTATTTTTAAATTAATAAATAGCTAAGTAACTAGTTCCTATCAGCAAGAATCTTAGTGGAGCAAGAAGTAAT